GCTGCTGCTGCTGCTGCTGTAATGGGCGCACTCTCCGCGGTCAGCAGCAGGAGGAGGAGAAAGAGAAGACACATGGCGAGAGAGCGAGGGCTCTGCATCACTGCCGACGTTATCTGCATGGTTCTCTTCGCTGTATCGGCTTGGTCTGCCCCGCACCACAGTGCCAGAGAAAATGAGGGAAGAGCAGAGGAGGAATGGGAGCAGGTTGTGGAAGCGAGAGGGGCAGCGCATCGCACCTGCAGGGGAAACAGGAGCGTGTGGGTGCATAGCGCTCGCAACCCGCACACCACAGAACGTGGCGTACTGCCGCAATGCCGCAGGAACGCCGTCTTAAGTATTTCAAAGTCGCAACACAGACACACACACACACCCACACACACAACACATCAAAAGAGAGCGTGCAGACATCGCTCCTCATCGGTCCTCCGCCTTGGTGATTGATTCTGACTGCCTGCAGAGTTCCTCTAGTGAAACCCTGGGCAAATCTTCATAAAGAGTGCTGCAGTCGTCGCTATCACTATCAGTATCACTGCTGCTGCTGCTGCTGCTGATGGTGATGGTGGTGGCATAGGCACCTCTCTTTCTTATCACCTCTGTTGCCTTGCCTCGGTCACTCTCCTTCATCGTCCTTGCTGCCCGCCTCGCTCCTCTCTGCGCATTTGCCCCGTGGTGGAGAAACTTCTGATACGAAGAGTGCATCCATATGCAAAGCCCCGCAGTGAGCAGCAACGTTGGGAGCTGCACGACTATGAAGTAAAACGCAAAATCCTCGTCGCCGGTGTACTCCAGCGAGTACCGCCGCAGCAGGTCCATGTGAAGTGGAGACGTTGCTCCCCGCCCCGCCCGTCAACTGTCTAGCCCTTCATCCGCAGGCACACGAATGTATGTGTGCAAGAGGCCATAGGCACCAAACGCACACCAAAAAGAAAAAAAACGCAGCGAGGCAATAGGTGAAAGAAGACGCACAAGCCAAAGCCACAGCAGGAGCAGAAGCAGCAGCATATGCAGCAGAAAAGCAGCAAGGGGAAATGCGGTAAAGGCAGCAGATCCTCTCCTACGCTATCGTCTCACCCCCACCCACTGAGGAAACGCCCATTTTGTTTTTGTTTTTGCTTCTTTGCTTTCTTGCCCCTCTCCCCCTNATATATATATATATATATCTGTGCATGCCATGCGCCGTGCAGTTGCTGTTTGCTGCTGTCGCTGGTGCGGCGGCGCTACCACTTGTTTCCGGCGCCCGTGCCCCACGCCTCCTCCCAGCACTTTGGTCGCCACCGGGACGACACCGGCGGCGGCTGAAACGGCTCGCGTGCGCCCGGCTTGTCGATTGGGCCGCGCCCCTCGCGAATGTCGCCCAGGTCCGTCAGCCCGAGCTCCTTGCGTATGGCGAGGCGCTCGTCCTCCAGCTGGTCCGTCTCCACGCGCAGCCGCTCGAGCTCCGGCGTTGTGAGGTGCGGCACCG